TGATTGCTTTCAAAGTCGTTGATGTCTAAGTCAAATTGCTTAGAATCTTGCAATAATCTAGTAATCTCTTTAGTGGGGAGAAGTTTACTGTGGTAAGAGGCTCCAGAATGGATTTGGTATTTGGGGAATTTTAGACCATCAGGCAGATTTTTATTATATTCTTCGGCAGCTTGGAGTTGTTGAGAGAACTCGGAATTTTCTTCTTTGCTTATTGCTTTGCGTCATCCATTTAAAGTTTTAACTAGAATATCAGCAGTAGGACGCTTTTTTGGGTCGACATCTCAACATCTTTTAATTAAGTTTTCTAAGAGGGGGGGGGGGGGTATTTTAATCTGAAAATGGGGACGGAGACCTTGACAGATGGTCAGAGCTAAGTCTAAATCATGGGCTCGCTCATAATAAGGAGGTAAGCCTGATAATACTTCATAAGCAATAATGCCAAATGAATAAATATCACTGGCTTGAGTATATGGTTTGCTGTTTAAAACTTCTGGCGCTACATAGGGCATTACTCCGTAAGTCTTTTCTTGTTTAATCTCATTAGCTGGCTTACATAAACCTAAATCAGTAATGTAGCATTTAATATCTTCAGCACCTTTAACCTTATCTTTTCTGTTGAGAATATTTCCTGAATGAAAATCACGGTGAGTTAATCCTTGCTTATGAATTTGCTTTAATCCATCGGCTATTCTTCATAACTGGTCTAATTTACCTTTGAAATCTAATTGATTTTTCTGTAAAAATTTTCTTAAATCGCCATCTTTAATGTAATCCATTACCATGAGATAATTCTTCGTTTGTGGTTCTTGAGAAATACCATGACAATTGACAATTCGACTAGAGCTGCTAAACAACTTATGATTAGCAATCTCTTGTAAAAAATCTTTTTTGATGTCTTGAGAGTTGTTGAGGCTTTTGAAGACAATATTTTTGTTATTCCACTGAGCTTTATAGACTTTGCCAAAGCCACCGTTAGCCAGATGTTCAATGTTAGTTAATTGTTCATAGGGAATTCATCTTAAATTAGTTACTTCACGTTGCCATTTTTTGATAAATTTGTCGATTTCTTGATTACCACTGGTTCATTCTTTTGACGCTTTAAGATTTTTTAGCTTTTGAGGAAAATTATTTCCTTCGGTATTTTGTAAAAGGTTATAAATAACTTTTACTTTAGAATCTTTTCTTTACTAAACAATCAAAATATTTAACACTCTCTGGCAAATATTCTC